TCAAGGTCTGTCGTTCTAGGATATCTTTATCAATCGTTATAAATCTTGGAATTTTTCAGAAACAGCTTTACAGTTGTAGTTCACTCTTCCTTATAATGGTCAATAGATTTGTAAGTCTACTTGCCACCTAGTAGTGCATAGTTACTAGCCATAGAATATTTCAGAATTGTATCCGGGCTACATACCATGATATTTCTTCATAACCTTCGACCTTTCGCTTGCTTTTAGCAGTAGTTATGACTATCGATACTGCTCCACATTTCTTCGCCGAAATGGTGATTTTAAGGGGTACATTTCGGAGGAGCAGTTGCCAGTGGAGGAAAAGAGGGGGAGAGGGATTGATGGATGGAAATGAGAACGAGAGAGGAGAAAGACAATGGATCACCTACAATTTTGTCTTTTCTCAAGCTTGTAAAGACCTCAACTTAGAAAACTACATTAGACTCATTGTTTATATTGATGCAGGAAATCCATTAAGAATTTTTTTTTAAAAACAGGTAAACATTTTTGATCCGTTGAAAGTTTAAGGAAGAAATTGTTATATGAATGGTCCACCCAAAGCAAACTCTCTGAAATCCTGAGAGATAGACAGGAAGAAAAGACGAAAAGCAGGTATAGAAGTCTATAATATTCACGTGTCGAACATACTGAGCACTTTAGCTTTGTATGTACCACAGAATTTCGTATCAAAATTAAGTTTCTAATTTCGCTGTAAATTAGTAGGCTACTGAAGACACCTAAAAGTTTTAACTGCTGTCAGTAGGAGTCATTTGCAAACAGGAGACTTTATCAGTGGGTTTCTTTATTACCAAAACCGATATCATTTTTTAATGATTTACAAGCGAAAGATTTAAAACTGGAAGATTTGCATTATATACCGCCAAAATCCTTTTTTTCTTTGTTCTTCTAGGTCTAATTATATTGAGATTCTCATTGAGATTCTGTAGTTATAAGCAGTACTGAAGAAGAGGTGTGTTTGAAAAAGCTTCAATTTTTTGAGCTGAATAAAATTTATTTCAGAAAGTTTAGAAGTTGTAATTAATCGCTTATTATGATTCTTTTTACTTCTATTTAGCAAGAAAAAATTAGACCTTGAACTAGTTAAAATTTTTTCC